CTCCTTGATGAAGTTTATCTAATTTTTTTTTTTTAGTTTATCAGATTTCTATGGATAAAATTAGTCCATTCTCTTTTCTGTCCTCCTTTGGTATTTTACTCAGCTCTTACACTACTGGTTTTGTGTCTGTTTTCATACAAGACCATGAATTTCTTGGGGTCAATGCCTTATTTATTTCTGTTTTTCTTGTGCTTAAGCATCATGTTGGTACAGAACAGCATTGAGTACACACCAAATAAATGACAGAGCAGAGAGGTCAATCATCCGGTAATCATGGAAAGTAGAGATTCTGGCTTGGAAGTTCTTGGAAAAGAACCAAGAGTCTGCCCTTCCAGCAGGTTCACAGGTCTGCAGACTGCCCTGAGCACTATGATCTTCCAGACCTTGGCTCTCGGACTTGCAAGTCACCAAGGAGACTAGAAGAAGGCTAAGATGGGGAGGGATTGTTGGAGCTCATTTACACAGACGGCAAGTGACAGAATATGTGAACCTCAGAAAAACCATGAGCTTCATTAGAGGAGGCCATAAAGGCATAAAACCATCAGAGTGGCCAAAGGGATCTAAATTGTAAAAGTACAAAGTTCCCCCACTGACCTAAGGGCTATAGATTAGAGGCCTGGCTCTGCTCAACCCTTATCAGTTGGTCACTCCCAAGCCTGAGAGAAAATGTTTGTGGAGCTAAGGCCATAGATAACATTCCTGCCAGTTTCTATGGAAATAATCTTGACAAGGAGACCCTCAATCACTCCAAGGACACCAAGCCCAGGCACTAACTAAACTCCCCACTAAGTGCAGCTGTGTCCCACAACCTTAGTATAAGCCCCCCCCCACCCCCCACAATTTTCTTTGTCTAGTTGTAGAAGCTGGGTTCCCGTGGACAGCCTCCACCTCTCACTGTATCTTCTTGGAATAAAGGAAGATCTACTCCTTGGCTGTTGCAGATCTGGCTCTGGTTTCTTGTCTCCTACTCCTCTATCTTTCCTTTTATTTTCTAAAAATCTAACAAAGATCTTTTTAAAAACTTTTGAATTTGAAATTTATAGACATGTATGATTTCTAGCTTTTACATTGTGCTTAAAAATTATTTGCAACATCAAGCAAATAATTTATACTCTTCTTCTCCCTAGGCCCTTCATGACTAGGCTACATTAGACTTTTCTGTGCCTGAATAGTTTTGTTTAGCATATATTCCTGGTTCATCCATGTTGTCACAAAAGACATTGCTTCTGCTTTTATTATTGCTACACAGCATTCCATTATATATTGGAGGAAAAAATATATATATATATTACAATTTTCCCCCACTCATTCACTGATGGGCATGTAGGTAGAGTCCATATGCTGGCCATTGTGAATAGTGCTTCAGTAAACACTTAAATACAGATGTCTCTTACCAGAGACTTGGGAGAATAAAGGGGAAGGAGACAAAAAGAGGTTGGTTACCAGGTACACTAAGAAGAGTAAGCTCTAGTATGCAAAGGCGTAGTTAATAGTATATAGTTCACGACAACAATGTAAAGTATACCTGAATATAGCTGAGGGGGTAGGAACCTACTCACTGTAATGAATCTATAAAAGTGTACGTACTTGATTTGTGTCAATCAAAACACAAAGAAAAACAAAACTGGAGAGTTTGGGGTCATGCTAAGAAACAGATTAGACTTCAAGGGTCTAATCTACAGGACTCAATACCAAGATTCTTTCACATGTTAACAGCAAGATTTTGGCAGTAATTCTCTGAATTTCTACCAGCTGATGTTCATTTTTGATGCTGTCTTTTTATTTTGATAGATGGCTGTTAATGTTTATTCCTCTCCCATCATTCCGAAGCTGTGAGCTTGTCTATCTCCATCCAAACTCAATGCCTGTCACAGCACACTTGGAGCATAACCATCAATTCTTGATTAGAAAACTGTATCAGAAATGATCTCTCAGAAGAACAAAGAAATGAAACATTACTGGCCTGATGTTGGCTTTATTTTCAGATTCAAAAACTTTACTCAAAAAAAAAAATCAGTTAGGGTTTAGAAAGAGGACTGAGAAACAGCTGCAGTTATACAACATCACACTCTGGAACATGAAACTCCTATTAGAAATGGGTAGTGCTTGAACAAATATTTGGTTTCAAAAGTCAAGCTTGGTGGGGTGCCAGCATTCTGAGCCTGAAGCGGGAGAGGGAATCCAGATCAGCCTGGGATTCGTTATGAAACTCTGTCTCAAAGAATCAATAATAATAGCAACCAATAATAACTTCAGTTATGAGAATACTTGAATACTTGGCTTAGCTGATAAACATTAGCATCCTTCATGAACTTTGGTATCAATCTTGGTTTGTTTGTTTGTTTGTTTTTTGGTATTAATCTTGTTTTCTGGAAATGCAATATTGTTTCCCTAAACAAAAAAAATTAAGGTAAGGGAACTGGGAAGCAGCAATGTAAAAGATGAAAGAATGAAATACAGCGATTATTCAAAGCACAGAGGCACAATTTTCTTTCTGAAAACAAGCAAATCCCCGAAATCAAACTAAAAGGACTGAGAAGTTTCACCGAAGAGCCGAGCCAAAACCGCCAAAGGATTTGTTCCTGGGTCGGTAAGTTCCCCATCTCACAGTCCTACATTTCTTTTTAATTACAGTGGACCAGCAGACCACAAGTCCCGCATCCCAGGCAGCTGCTGTTCGTTCGCATGCACACATCTACCTTGCCTTCACTCAGGAAGATGAGGAACATGTAAAGGCTTCATATAAGTTACCAGAGCGCAAATTACCACACGCCTGGGGAAAGAGTGGACCAGCAAGCTGAGCGCAAAGACCCCAAACTGCTTCAAGCTCTTGTAATCCACTCTGCATTTTTCTTCCTCTAGAAATATTTGAGTATTATATACTCCAACAGAGTAACTAACCTGACACCTGCACAGTTCCACCCCTACCTGTCCCTGAGGGCCCCCAGCATCTTACAGAGACCCACTGGAACAGGCTCGCAGGCACAAAACTCAGCTCCTCCCTGGCTCGGCTCTGCGGTGAAACTTCTCAGTCCTTTTAGTTTGATTCTAACTGCGTTTAAACACGTACCCTTTTCTGCCTCATGCAAGCCATCTGGGGAGGTGAGTTCTGTCTTCAGCATGCACTCTGTGGCACTCATCTTTGTGGTTGGCTGAGCCCAGGAGGATTCTGAAACTCATAGCATCTGCCTAGAGAGAATTTCTAGAGGAACAAGTGGGTGGCTCTAAGCTGGTAGGTTGAAAAATCAGCCACGTCAGCGTCACAGGCTGCACACAGAGAGACCTGAGTGGCTCCGAACTGAGTTGTTTTCCAAGTCAAGAAGTTTTGTTAACCACTTCAGCATGACTCTGATGTTTGTCAGAAGTAGTGAGGGACTGTGGAAATTTAAACAGATAAAGAGAACACACACAGCTACAGACAGAGTCCTGACCCATCCAGGGACCAACAATTCTGCTTCTTGGTACTCGGCCTCACAGAAACAGATCAGTATGAGACCTTGTATCACATTATTATTTATAATAATAGAACAATATAATAATAATAACTAGAACTTTCATGTCATGATAGAGCATAATGAAGGAATGGGTACAAAGATAATAATAGAGACATATACACACAGTGTATGTAGAGAAATGTCCTGTGACCTGTATAACAGAGACACAAGGTGCAGTAGAGTCCACTGTGGAGTGGACACTGCCAGTAAAGAGCTGAGCTCCATTACACCACTCAAGGTATTCATGTGTACTCGGCCTCAACTAAAAAAGAAATAGAGAGCAAGAAAAACTCCCTACACAGACCACTAAATATCTACTATACTGGCTAAAAAAGATTGCACATAAAGTTTTCAGGGTGATATGCTACAACTGATGGAAGATTCAATATTTGTCACTTTTTGACAGACTCTGTGGCATAACCACTAATGTTAGACATCATCAAATCACACTGTAGTAATTATATTCAGAATGATATTTCTCTTAAAATACATAATATATCAGCAAAGGGCATATACAGAAAAAACATTTTCAACAGCCAATCCAGAAACTTGGGTGCTCATTAACAGTGAATGGAAATACATTATTTTGTATTAATGCAATGGCATAGCATTCAGCACTGAACATGTAACTTTGTGCTACACAACATGAAAGATCTCACAATCATAAAGTTCACTACAAGAAGTGAGACACTGTAGAACACGTCATAAACAGTTTTGTTGAGATAAAGCTTGAAACCTGGCATTTAAACACATCATGGTTGTGTAATACACAAAGACTAAGGATCAAGAGCAATTTTATTATGAAAACTGGTTTTCCTAGGAAAGTATGTCACCCCAAGGGCATTGGGGAACTTTTTCAGAAAGACTGAGACTCAGATCAGCTCCTGAAGTACCAGCATTTCTGGCAGCCATGGGTTTGAAAGTTTCCATTTTACCCAATATGGCAAAAGTCTTAAAAAACACACACACACAAAAAAAACCCTTCATTGTCACTTGCTCTCCATCAGCTGAGTGGAATTCATGCAGCTTTCCATCCTCGGCTAACCCCATGAGTCTGGGTGGCTCTTACACCTTTGCTATACGGGGTTTGGAGTTTGGTTGGTTTGCTTTGGTTTGAGATGGGACCTCCTGTATCCCAGGCTGGCCTGGACCTGGCCTTGTAGCTGATGATGGCCTTGGACTCCTGACCCTCAGCCTCCACCTCCCAAGAGCTAGGACTCAAGGCCGCTGTTACTAGACTCTAGGTGGTGCTGATGGACTGGTGGCTGTGTTACTTTTCAGGGACTTGGAGGTCGCCTTTGCTGACAATGCTAACTTCATTGGCCTGTCTATCCCATAGGTAGGAAGAGGGTCACAGGGCTTGACACCTGTGCCTTCACCTGGGGTTTGCGTCCTCTGTAGCCTTACTTGTCTCTGCCTTTTGTCTAGAGCCTCAGCCCAAGTCCTGGCCTTTCTCCAATTTCAGTTTAAGATCAGGAAAGCTGTAATGACTGTAATGACTGCCCTGCCCCCATGGGCCCTTGATAAAATGTTCCCCACCAACTGCCCTTTCCCCCACCTTTTCCTCCTCCACTGGCTTTATTCCAGATCAGTGGCACAATGGGCCCTTTTCTTGGTTACAAGGAGCTGAGCCTAAATAGGGGTCAGTTGCTGGAACCAGGAAACTAGAACTTTTTTCCTAGCTGAGCCTTCCTAAAACCCTGCAAGCCAAAGACCTGGGTGCTAATCCAGAAAATGCCTCACTGTGGCACACAAATGTTGTGCACACTGATGAGGAATGTGGTCAAGGACCCGCCCACAGAGAAGGCCCTGGAGGGGTTATGCAGGGTGAATCCTGGAGCAAGGGAAAGAAGTCAGGATCTGCTGATCTCTGGCTCCTCCCCAAGTGCCCTGCTAGGCATGTGGACCCTGGAGGGCCCCCGCCCCTGCAGGGCGCCAGGCCATCCCCTGCCCCAGCCCACCCCAAGCACATAGGACCCCTAGAGTGCTGACCAGCTGGCACCAGGCTACAGACCAGCTGGCGCCTGTCTGCCTGTGTAAACTGAATTTCAGTTTCCATTTCCTGAGTTCATCAGAGCTCTGGTTTTCAGCCCTCCCTGCAGAGAGCCTTCAGAGCCAACCCTGACACAGTGATAAGGATCTCAGGAAAATATTTTCCCTTGTCCTAGGCCTGGGGTGGAATCTGAGGTGTTCTGGGAGCCCAAGGGGAGGCTAGGCTGAGCCAAACTCCTGCCTGGGGCTGGAGTACAGGGGCTTTATGTGTGACAAAGTAAGTAAGGGTGGGCACTTGTCACCTTCCATTTGCAAAGACCCACAAAAGGAAAGCAGCAGGCCAGGAGTGAGCCTCACACTGCATGCAGCAAATAACTATTTGTTCTGTTCTTAGAAAACGGTACCGCTCAGTGCAGGATGTTGATAAGAGGGAAATGGGACATGAAAAGGATGGGGTATAAAGGTCTCTGTACTTTCCACTCAGTTTTCCTGTTATTGTAGAACAGCTTTTTAAAAGGAAGACATTGTTGCTTTTTTTCAGTCCAGTGATTGTTTTTAGCTGAGTGACATGGGAACACATATTAATCCTGTAAAATTCCCTGGCAAGAATTTGAATTTCTGGAAACACTTATGTCCCTTCCTTTGGCTGATTATTGAACAATGGACCCCAAGAAATTGGTGTTTTTACAAGAATCTCATACTAGAAAAGGAAAGGCCCTGGTGCCAGCCAGTGGGAATTATCTATCAGGAAGATATCACACAGTTCTGAGAACTTACAAGAGAGACTTGAGTCAAGTGAGGGGTGGGACCACCTCTTAGCAGGGACTGCTTGGCAATGCATAGTGCTAGCCTTCTATTTAACCTAAACCTCATGTTGGACCCAGGAGATGGACTGACAGGTGGATGGTTTACTTCCCAACATGACCTCATTGAATAAATTTGCCTTTTCTACTTGCCAATATTACTTATTTGTTTAATTGACCTCATATGGGTAGGAGGCCAAGTCTGGCTTGTTATATAACTTGTTAATTCTCTGGCACCAGTTCAGCTGTGCTGTATAAGATGGATGGGGTTTTTCATTTGCTAATAGAGGACATGAAGTGGGGGGAGGGGGCATGGGTGACAAGTTGAGGGTGGAGATGGGGGAGTGGGTCTGAATATGATCAAAATACATTGTATGAAATTCTTGAATCAATACAATTTTTAAAAAAGGAAGCAAACATTTTATTAGATATGCAGTAGATAATTTTATTCAATAGTTTAATTTACCTACTTGTCTCTGCCTCTGCCTCTGCCTCCCGAATGGTGGGATTAAGGACTTGTGTCACTACGTCTGGCACTTAACTCATGTGTGTTTTATTTTCTGTTTTGATTACAATTTGGAAGAAAGCTATCTATTCATAACATGCAAATATAGTAATGCTTCATTATGAGTTATTAAGAATTTTTCAACTTTTGAATTAAAAAATTTTTCAGAAATAGGGGTTCCTTAAGTGTACTAGTTACTTTTCTGTTGCTGTGATAGAACACCATGGGATTAAGGACTTGTGTCACTACGTCTGGCACTTAACTCATGTGTGTTTTATTTTCTGTTTTGATTACAATTTGGAAGAAAGCTATCTATTCATAACATGCAAATATAGTAATGCTTCATTATGAGTTATTAAGAATTTTTCAACTTTTGAATTAAAAAATTTTTCAGAAAT